GCAGAGCAAGGGAGCCATGGTTGGGTTTGTCTGCCCTTATCCAGAAAAAAAAAAAGAAGTGAAGAAAAGCCACTGAGCTCTGCCGAGGGGATTAGGATTTACTGTCATATCAGATGAATTCAGGTCAATGAGAAGCTGAGGCCAGATTCTATCTCAGCTGATAATAAAACATCCTCTTCACACAACAAAAAGCAGGGATATTGTTACACATCCTATTTAACCTGACTCACACAGCCAAGCCTGAATTGCTACATAACTGCATAATTACTAATAGGATCTTTTCTCTATTTTTTTTAGTCTAACACTGCTAGGCTAAGAGTCTGTAAGATGATATCCTCCTTAAAATATGATTATTAAATCATAAAAAGAAAAAGAGAGCTGTGTGCCTGAAAGACAGATTTTATTCTCTGCATTGGTGTGGCTGTTTTGCAGTTATGGGCAAAGCCCTTAAAAATTTCCTTGTCTCAGTTTACTGAACTGTGAAATGTGAAATGCTTTAACTGTGCCTTGCGTTTTTTATGTGCAGGATGTGAAAAAGTTTAAAACATTACTATGACACCATCTTTTATACTTGCTGTGTATTTACTGCTCTACACTTGCAAATATAATATTTAGTCCTCTGAGAGGTGATTAAAAGCACTTGAAGATATACATTTATATGATATTTCTCCAAATAATGACAATGATGTGTGCCTTTCAGCAAATAAGTAAATACAAATTTTACGACTCTTCAAATTATTATCCTTAGCAAATAAAAAAATTCTGTTTCTGACAGGATGTATTATACTGAAAAGGAATATTCTGTTTCAGTAAATTTAAGAAATGAATTATTATTATTATGACTACTGCTGGTGAAAGCTCAGCAAAGCAGATTTATCAAATGAATACGTAAAAATAATGTTGTTACAAGTTACCAAACTTAACAACCACTGTTAAAAACTGATGAAATTAAACTAAAATGCTAAAATATATACAGTTGTTGTTTCTTTTTTTTCTGTAATACCCCACAATCATCTTCAAAATAGCATTTTGCATAACAGAAAAACTCCAGATATATGTTTTGTCCCACTAGGGATATTTAGGGCTAAAATAGCTGTTAATTTGCATCTGATGGTGAGATGTTTATTTTCAGCACAAAATGTAAACGTTTTCTAAGATGTGTCATATTCATTTCACACATTTCATGAAACACTGTGGGCATCTGTTTATTTGTAGTTTTTGCATAATTTGGCCATAATTTGCTTGATATTTTTCCATGCTTGCTTTCTGAGGGAGGAAAAATATGCAATATACAGAGTATTTAATGTCCTTTTAGCAGAAGCTGAACTTCACTAAATTGGTCTTTAGGGAGCATCTACTTTAGCTCTCTTATTTGTCCCTTCCTACTTCTGCGAGAGTTTGATTACTTAACTGATTTATTTCCCTTTTTTTTTTTCCATCCTGGCCTCTTTTGTTATGGCTGAGACCTTCTCGTGTGTTTAAATATTAGCAGCTGCCTGGAAGCAACCTTAACTCCACCTGGGATAACCTGATTATGTTTCCTTAGCAAAAACGTGTTGAGACGAATGGTCGCCTGGGAATAAACACCAGCTCGTCTGTAGACATCTGTTGGGACATGGGGATAAGGTAAGGGGCAGTAACTCATGTGTGGATGATGACCCTGCATCCCCAAAACCTCATGATAATTTGAGGGAAAGCTGTGCCTTCTCTAACCAACCCTCCGTTCGTTCTGTGCAGACACACTCTTACAAGATCGTCCCTGCACATTAGGCAGAAATTGAGGTGAAAAGCTCTTTGATTGCCACCCATTATTGTGCCAAGTCAACCTATAAGTATCATTGAACCCTGAGTATTAGCAAGATCAATTTGCAATAGCACAACCCATAGACCGTTGAGGGAATGGAAACCCTGAGGGAAATGAGCATGTGTTGGAGGCTCTGAGCCTTGTTAGGAGACATCTTTTTCCAGTTGCTGCTGGATGGGTGCTAAAGCTAATCCAGGAAAGGTTTTGAGGAAGATTATGTTCTTGTTTCCATCAATAGCACTTCCCCAGCCTTTCCCTTCAGGAGCTGATATCTGGCTGTCCTTTATCACACCGTGTACCCACAGCTGCTCAGAAAAGGGATAAAACCCTCTTGCAGGGGCAGTACTTGGGACACCAGGCTGTGCTGGAGGCAGGTCTGCACCCAAACCTCGTAACCTCGTGTCTCTGCACTGCCCTGCTGCCCGCCAAACCTCCAACACCCTCCGCTCCCTGCTGCTGCCCTTAGTTTGGGAGAAAGCTCTCCTCCTCCTCTCCAGACCCAGAGATCTACACTCTTCCCCTCTTACGCCCTCCAGCAGCCCTGTACCCACGCCAGCCTCCTCACACCCTCACTTCTTGATGCCCTTGGGTATTCATTACTCGTATCAGTGCACCGCTCTGCAATCTAAAGCTTTCTAAGCCAAGCTTAATTCATGGTGGGTGTTGGTCTCTTCTCCCAAGTAACAAGCGATAGGACGAGAGGAAATGGCCTCAAGTTGCGCCAGGGGAGGTTTAGATTGGATGTAAGGAAAAATGTCTTTACTGAAAGAGTGGTTAAACATTGGAACAGGCTGCCCAGGGAAGTGGTTGAGTCCCCATCCCTGGAGGTATTTAAAAGACGAGTAGATGAGGCACTTAGGGATATGGTTTAGTGGGCATGGTGGTGTTGGGTCGACGGTTGGACTTGATGACTTGACTTTTCCGACCTTAATGATCCTATGATTCTATGATTTTCACAAAGGATCATCTCACAAACCTCAGATCCAAGAGGAAAACTGCAGTAGAGAAATATCCAGCAGACGCAAAAGTGCGTTTAACAAAAAAGACGGACTGAATCAGAGACCTGCCTCCTGTACAACGCCCATCAGTAACAATTGAGTGCTACCATAAATACCCACTTTCCTCTCTGCCTCAAACTAAGATGAATCAACTTTTCTTGTTTTTAGGAAAACTCTTTTTTTTCCTCATATTTAAGCCACAAAATATTGTGAATACAAGCTTTGAGAGAAGATCCCCCGAACAAACAAGCTAAGGACAGAGAAAATTGCTCTGCAAAACCAGGTTCTCAAAAGTTGTCTTTAAAAGTGGGCAGGAAAGGCAGCAAGAACAGTGCTCTTCCCCTAATCAGCAATTCCAGATTAGGTCGGTTAATGCGCAGGAGGCTGGAGCTGGGGTTGGATACAGACCCAAATGTCTCCTTGCTTATTCAGAGCTTATCAGAACACTCTGAACTTTCAGCCTTGCAAATGCTGAGCTGGAAAAAGCAGAACAAGCTCTCTTGGGAGATTTCGTGTTCATTTTTACCTGTGGCTGGGCCAGAAATACTTCAAAGATAGATTTTCTTGTGACATTTGAAGTTTTCTGACTCAGGTGCCTGCCAGAGCTTGAGCTCTATGGAGATAGATATTTATGGGGTCAGAGTTTCAGAAGATTTCAGCTTTCATGTAATCACCAAAATAAATGACCTGCTTTTCATAAAAGGTCTCATCACTGGAAAGGCACCCAGCCTGGTGAATTCAGAAGTCCCTTTGAAATCAGGATCCAATTGTGAGCAATTTGCTTTTAGATACCTGACCTGAGATCTTTCGAGCTAGAATTTTTAAGTGGTTTGTGAAGCAAAAAAAGTTAGCAAACTCTTTAAGACACAAAACTAAGTACAAAACTAACTAATTATGGAAATAAACACCTTCAAGTTCAGAGAAGAAAAAAGAAGAAACAGAAGAGAAAAGTGTCCAGGACATCAGTACACCAAGATGAGAGGTCTATATAAGGATAACTATCTATCGCATTTGTCACATGAAAATAATGCAAATAGAATGGAGTCAAGGGCTGGGATCTAACCCAAAATCTGCATTTACCTTGCATCAGGCAGGGCTTCTGGGCCAGAATGTATGAACTGATGGTTCATACCATCAGGCCCTGATGATTCCCCTACAACCCTGGTACATGTCTCTCCAGATACACTATCCCCCTCCTAAAGCAGTTCTTCCAAGAGCTACTTTATTTTCCTTCCAGATGTGCTGTACTATTGCACGGCTGGTTCTCACTACGGGCCATGTTGGATGCTTTCCTGATTCTTGCAGATCTGGGAGACTTTGCCGTCTTTGACTTATAATGTGCAAGGGAAAAAATTGTTCATCCAAACCTTTCCACCCAGTCTCACTCACAATAACTAAGGCTTTGTATTTTCACCACAGGGAGGTGTCAATGGTGATGCAAAAGGGATGTTGCCAGTAGCCTCAGCCTTTAATCCCCATGCAGCACATCAATTGCATTCCACAGACCTAAGAAGAAACCTCCATAGGCTACTTCTGACCCAGGACGTATTAGCAAACTGCTCTGACCAAGAAGTTAGTGTGCAGAAGGAACCGACTGCAGAACCCAACCGATCTGCCAGTTGGGACTTTGGGCTGAAGAAAAGGGGAATCTGGCCAAAGTGGAAAACTTTGGAGAGCAGGGCAGCATCAGCAGCCACAATGTAACAGCAAAGTGATCCAGATCAAACAGACACCCATCTTTTATAACTATCATACATACAAAGCAGTACTGCTTTGTGGACTTCTCATTACAATTCAGTTTCTAAAAGGATTGAAATCTGAGTCACTAGGTCCTCAAGCAGGAAAAGCTGCCTTTAACCTTTCACTTATTTGTCCCTGAACATCCCTATGGGTTTTGCCCTGTGGACCTGCTGACTGCGAGCTGCCTTGTTCAGATCCAGCCTGCAGTGACCAGTACTGGGGCCACAGCACATTCATAAGGTGGGCTTAGATGTGGTGCAATTCTGCTGCTCTTGAGTAGCCGCCTTCTCAGCACCATGCAAACCCCTCTTGAGTCAGATCCACCCAGCCATCACTATGCATGACATACAATACAAGAGGAGAGTCACCAGAAGATCCTGAAATCAGCTGGTCACTAGGAAAAGATGTTCTAGCTACTGTCTGCTGCATTAGAAGAGCTGTTTGCAAGTGGCACTTACCTAGCATCCCTTTGTTCGAACTGGATAAGCACATATCCTTCTCAGCACTGGGAAGAACAAATCCAACCACAAACACCTCCACCCCATCTGCCATCAGTGCCAACCCTAAAACAAAGAAGAGGGTCCACTGGAAGCGTCCGTGGCCACACTCCTCAATGATGTTCTCGTACTGGTGGGCAAGTTGCTCCTCGTCCTCCATCCTCTCTGCCATAAGGTCAGCATGGTCTCTGTACTCATCAGCCACGGCAGGAGCTCGCTTCTGCTTTTCTTTAATGTCATCTGGGTGCGGGATCCCTTGGTACTCCCCCTCATAGACCTCATCGTCTTCATCATGGCCTTCTGTAACATCACTCTGGGCATCTTCTTCAGGAGCGGGCTCATCCCCGCCACGATAGTAGCCGTCATTGGGTGCATACCCTTCATAGTTACCATCCTGGTACCTGTAGTCATCTGAGACTTGGTTTGCCTCCCTGCCCCCTTGATAGAGGTTTGTGTTTCTATATCCATCATCCATTCTGAATGGAGATTTCTAAATGCTGTAGATCACTCTGTGTAGATACTGTAATATATGTATTGATTTGTACAATTTCTGGTATTGGTTACTTGAACATATCTTCTCTCTGTTCTTTGGAACTGAAGGGATACACAGTTTCCCAGGCTCAGAAGGAGGATTCCTATCTAAAGTTTCTCTCTGACAGAGTCTCACACAGCTTTTGATAACGCTTCACTTTTCAGCTGTCATTTGTGACTTGCTGGCTTCTTCTGTGCTTTGGGTGGGAAGAGCTGCTGTCTGGTGAACAGCAAGGGAACAGCAAATTGCACAGCCAGGGAGCTAGGAGGATTTGACAGGTTTTTCCTGATTCATTGTGGTGGTGAAGGTCATGTCCTGAGAAAGAGGAAACAATAGCAATGAGACAGCAGTAAGCTTGCAAGCACACATGCATTGAGTTTAATGCCCCACATTTTGATACAGGTTTTACAGCAAGGGAACAGCAAATTGCACAGCCAGGGAGCTAGGAGGATTTGACAGGTTTTTCCTGATTCATTGTGGTGGTGAAGGTCATGTCCTGAGAAAGAGGAAACAATAGCAATGAGACAGCAGTAAGCTTGCAAGCACACATGCATTGAGTTTAATGCCCCACATTTTGAATACAGGTTTTTCCATTGCAAAAAAATGGCAACAGAGTGTTGGAGGAATGTTTTTGCATCATCAAAACCCAAAGCTTCAGAACAAAAAAGAGCATTAAAATTTACCAAGTTAAGTGGGAGCCTAAAGCAGAATGTAAAGCAATGTGTGGTCCCAATTTCTGTCGTTCCCAGAAGTCCTGCCACCCACATGTGGTGCTGGTTTCTACAGGGAGCAGAACAGTACTGAGCTGGGTTGCTGGAACAGAGCTCTCAGGTTGATAAATATGTTTCTGTCCATCTACCCAGAGCACACTCATCCCTGGTACCTACAACTGGCTAACATCATAATGACACAAAATAGGAACTTGGTTGTCTTTTTCATCCAGATCCCAAACTTAATTTTATTTAACAGCTTCTTTTTTTCCCTAGTGTCTCTCCGTCTGTATGACAGATGTACAACTAAAATGCAGTGTCTGCCAAGATAAAGTCACCAAAAGTCACACCAAGCTCTGTTCTTCCCATATCTAACCATCAACGGAGGATGATTTTCACAGAGAGCAAAAAACAAAGCTAATATGGAATCACTGTTCTCTGCAGGGAAAACCAAGGGAAGCCAAGTCACATCTAAACACATTCTCATTTTGGACACCTGATTTCCATTATTTTTCAAGCAGTTTTCAGCCAGCTGGCTCTCCAGTGTTCTCCTGCATTTGTTGCCGCACACAGCTGTAGACAAGGAGTTTGAAAGGAGACTCACGTGGGAAACTGAGTAGAGTCACGCTAGAGGAGCCAGCACAGCGTAGGCATGCACAAAATGTGGACTTCACTTTAAGCTTTGAGCTACTTGCCTAAATAAAGTGTAAATGAGCTATGAAATGACGTGGGCAGGCACATGTGTGTGTATATGTGGGCGTTGGTACCTACACAGTCAGTTGACCTATAGAAGTGTACACAAATGCACACACTGTAAGTGGCAGTGCTACCTCTGCACTTCAGGATCTTATTGGCAGACAGTATGGGTTTAAACAGCATGCAGCTAAAATGACTTCAGAGGAGAAATTCAGTAGAAGCACTCTCACAAAATGCTCAGAAGGGCATCATTCGTTCTGCAAATGCTGTGATTTTTTGGCAGCCCAAATGTTCAGGATAAGGAAAGAGCAGAGGCTTGACTTGTCTGCGTGGAGTCATGGCCGTGCCTTGCCTATGCCGTTCATGGGAGCTGCTCCAAGAAACTTCATAAAAGCTTCCCCTGCATTTCTGTTTAGCTAGCTATATATTTATGGCACATAATTACAACACGGCCCCTGTGGGCCCTGCCAGAGCTTCCTCCTTTTCTCTGAGCCCTCTGCCATTTGTCGCTGCATTCAACGTGTTTCCTCTTCCCTTTCTTTGTGCTGAATCACACAATACATTTTGCATGAAGTTAAAAAGGCAGGAGGGCATTCTTCCAGGGCTGAAAAAGAGCAATCAATAAAGTAAAAAAAAAAAATAATTAAAAAAATCCCAAAGGCATCCTGATCAGGTTAGAAGGATCAGGAGACTACAGTGCAGGTAGCAGTAAAGAGAAGTATTTGCATCCGCAATGGAGGTGTTATTGTGCAGGGGAGTTAATACCTCTGACAGCCACCAGAAGCACTTAGGTGGGTTTTACAGCTCCTGTTTCAATGCTGGAGTGTCACCACTGATGGTTAAAAAATCCAGGAGTACTTTTGAGTCTCAGCACCCCCCAGTCTTGAAGTAACGTTCTTGATTACACAAAGATTTGTGTCATGACTGAACATCATGTTCTCCCAGGCAGTAAAAATGTAGTTCCACGGAGACAAATTTTCTTTTGAAAAGCAGGGGAAAGGGCCTTTTTAAAAAAAAAAGAAAAAAGAACAATATGTGCTAAGGAACATTAGTCCTTGCTTTCGAAGTCTTTAAATATCATGTGTTGGCAGGTTATGTTTCAAAGTGACATCAAACGTCGGAGCAGGAACCACAGTGACTTCACTGTTTTTGTCCCTTTCTGGTTGCTACAAAAGTGGATTGAAAACTCATCTTAGGAAACGAAGTAATAATAATACTAATGATCAATAACAGAACTGATCAGATTCTGGGCCTCCACAGATCTTACCCCTGGCCTTACACCTACTTTTTCAAAAGGTGAAAGTATGTTCTTGAAGACCAAGCACTGGAAATCTTTTCATTCTCTATTAAAGAGCTGCCAAGGCTGGAACCTGGGCTCTTTGCCTCCTACAATAACAGGACCAAAGAAGATCACAAGCTGAGAAAAGACCTACTGAAGCATCCGTGCTCTTTCACTGATACACAAAGATCGTTATTTACCGTATGGGATCACTTACATCTTGGACAGCATAGGAAATAATGGCATGAGCTGACGAGTCTCATAGATGAGTGACAGCCACCTGTATCAGGACGAATGTGTAATTCAGAAAAAAGGTCGTGGTAAATAATAGTCACTGGGTTCCCATTCAGTTTGTAGGATGGATATTTTCTGGGATCACCGGAGGAGAAGGAGCAGTGCCCAGAGGCAGGCTGTAACTTAGGACTCTTGAGTGCTTTACTTTGATACTTCAAACTACTTGTTTCCTTTTGTTGCCACATATGCACAGGCTGATTCACTCGACTTGATTCTTTAACACCCTTTCACTCAAGCTGAGCTGCACTTACTCATATTAGCAGCCCCATTTCGCATTTAGATGCGAAATCATGACTTCTCATAAAGATTGCAGGCTTGGATTGCTATAATTACCCTTCACAGTGATGCATGAGAGCTTGAGACAAATATACACATCACATCAAGCCTGTTACAACCTTGGGCCCTTTTAAACTGACAGCTACCTTTCTGAGACGTGCAAGAGAGGTTTAAACACACGACAAATGCAAGACTCCATAAGGCAGAGTCTGCAGGTAGGGAGGGGCAGAGGCAGGAAAGTCTCATTCTGGGTCTCCCCAAAGTAGCCTGTTAAACTGAGCTGTGGACACAAAACCCTAAAGTGCCTGGGAATACAGTTCCTTTCCTCCCTTGTAATTCTCCATAGCACAGTACTTATTTCTCAGTACATTACCTTGCTTTTTCTTCCCCTCTAAGTAATTTTTGCACTAGAGCTTTTCCTCTATATTCTGCTTGATATTTACCGTAATCTTATTTCCACACCAAACAGTCTATCTCATCAGTTATCCTAATGCTAGCAAGCATCCTTCACTTAGTCCTGCATCTTGCACACTCTAATTTATTTAACAGCAACTCTTTAATATACACTATTCACTTTGCAGTTTTCTTGCACTCCTTAGCTCTTTAGTCAGCTCAGATGTTGCATGCTTAGCCAGGAATTCAGTCGTTTGAGCTCTGCAAATTAAAATAATAACCTAAAGTCTTGGATATACTCATAATAGAAAAGGTATCTACTCTAGGAAAAGGGACCTTTAACAAGAGCAGCTTAACACCTGCATTTGCCCCTGTGAAAGAGCATATAAGGGAGGTGCCTGGCATGCTCAGATGATAAACTGTGGGCTGAAGGGAAGCAGAGCTTGGAGGGGATGCAGGTAAGGGTGAGTTCCTTGTACCTGGCACCAAATGAAGAAAGTGCAGGAGTCCAGGGCTTGTTAGAGCTGAGCTCTATCAGAAAGCAGACCTTATAGCAAATTAGTGAGCAGGGCAGTTATGGAGAGGTGATTTCTTATGAAATATATTGAATTTTGGGGCATGAGGGAGTTTCTGGAAAAGTAAAAAGAGCAAGGTTGTTGCTTTGTGGGAGCCAGAGCTGAAGGGAGCTGTGGGTGCACATATGTATGCAGCAGGGAGAGAGCCAAGGCTAGGAGCTGAAATCCAGATCCTTCTCTTTGCATGCTCAGAAAGGGAAAGCTCTCAGAGTCAACAGCTGAAGGGAGAGGTTATATGAATGCTAAGGAGAAGGAGCAGTACAGGGACACTATAAAAATGCTTTCAAGGGATCTTTAGCATTCACCAGAATAATCCCTGTAAAACAGATGGCAGAGCAGTTTAATGTTCTGCCTGAAGGACAACTCCTCTAGCAAAACATCCTCACTCCCAGACCTGCTTTCTGCTGGCAGCAACGGGAAGATGCCCAGATCCTACAGTGACCATAAGGACACTCTGCAGTCACAAAGCTGACTGTAAAAAAAATCCTGAGAGGAAATTTTCCTCACTGAAAGGAGAAAGGAAATGATGCAGATAGGTTTTTGTGAAGTTCCAATCTCAGACTCTTAATAAGCATGCAATTAACGGATCCATTTGTATGCATGAAGGACCAGATTTTTGAGATGCTTAACTCACAGCTCCCAGGGGAGCAGTATCCTGGATTTCAGGCAGCCAACAATTGCACAAATATTATTAGACAGACTGAAGACTGTAGCAAGGTC